TGTGTCCACCTAAAACTAGAAAATAAATATTAAAAAACAAAACAAAACATTGTCTCATCCAAAATATGGACATGGTCATCCATCACCAACATTATTGTGGGAAGTCAAGAAAATAACATCTGAAGAGGGCAGCACAGTGCCTACACAAGTGAACAGTTAAGTACTGTTAAATATACAGGAGGCCATTAGTTTGAGCTTCTAAGCAAAGGCTGGTCACACCTCCCACACCTGGCTATTTTAACATCTTCAAGGAAAGTATCTTTGAAAGAATCTGTCCAGGATTTTATTCTCTGTTTCTGCTGTCCTCACCATTAGTCTGTCTTTAAAAGCAGCCTTCTCTGCTCAGCTCATGGGAGCATGCATTTTATGTGTTCTCATTCTGAAACTGAGTGATGGTAGGAATAAACCCTCTGACTTCACTTGCTTATAGTTACTTCTTTTAATTGATTTTAAAAATCACTAGCATTGGCCTGGGGTTGTGGCTCAGAGGTAGAGTGCTTGCCTAGCATGTGTGAGGCACTAGGTTCAATTCTCAGCACCACATACAAATAAATAAAATGAAGGTCCATCAACAACTAAAAAATACATTTTAAAAAAATCACTAGCATTAGAGGCCACATAGCTGAGTGATGTAGTACTAGTCTCCCATTCACTTTGGAGTAAATACCACCTAATGTGGGTGATGGTGATAATGGGTGCCTCGGTTACTTTTCAGGGACTTGAAGAATTTTTTTTTTAAAGCTATGGCTCTTCACTTGGGTCTGCACAAGTGTTAAATGGGCGACTTCTTTGATGTTAGGAACCTGAAAACTCCACCTTCAGATCATACTAATGCTGCCATTTTCTGGACATGTATCCTATGAAAATTGATTGGGCATGCATAGACTACTGATACTTCACCTCCAATCAGATATCCCCATGTCTTAAATTACCCTGTTTCTTTCTCCCATATCACAAACCTTATCCTTACTTTCCACCTTCACACTAACCACTTTGTGAAGAAAGTCTTACAAAATTCACCCTGAGATTTCCATGATTGGCAAGTGTGCACTGGGCAGACCAGGTCTGGTTCAGTAGAAATTGTAGAATCACAGAGGAATGCCATTGAGAGCTTTAATCTAAATTTGTTTTCATTTTAACTTTTAAAGTCTCTAATTGTGACTTTATATTTATTTTTATTATTTTTTTTTAACTGTGCTTGGGATTGAATCTCATGCATGCCAAGCAAGCACTCTACTTCTGAGTTGCAGCTCCAGGGAGACCTATGACTTTTCAATGAACTGCAAACCTGACTTCAAACCAGTCGTTTTCAAATTTGAGCTCTCATTAGATTCACAAAAAGACCTCATTCAAACAGGATGGTGGACTCCACCCTGGAATTTTTGATTCAGTAGATCTGGGGTAGGCATGAGAAGTTTTATTTCTATCAAGTTCTTAGGTGATGCTGATCCTAAAGGTCTGAGGCCCACACCTTGAGAACCAGAACTCTAAAACCTTCCAAATCCCAGGACTCAGGAACATCCAGACCCCTCAGGTGGCTTCCAGATGAACATCCCTGTTGTCCCATCCAGATCGCCTCATTCCTCCCCATAGATTCCTGTGTGCCACGGCCAGTCACACAGAGTGGTGGCATGTCCTTGCTCAGGTGCCATCTCTTCTTCAGACCTGTGCACACACTGTAATGTGCTCAAATACCAGTTCCTTTTTTGTCACCAAGCTACTTCCCTTCAAGTTTCTGTCATGGTTTTGTGGCGCTGGGGGTGGAACCCAGGGCCGTGCACACGCTAGGCAAGTGTCTACTACTGGGCTACACCCTCAGCCCTCCAGATTTTTTTCTGTGATGCATGACAAGCCCCCATAAATCCTTCAGCCCCTGAGGACACCTGGCTAGAGACAGACCTGTCTCTGTCATTGGATGGAGAGATTCAAGCCCTGCCCAACAGCACAGACCAGGTACCCTTATGTAAATGGACAGCAGGTGGAGCCTGTCTTTCCCACCAGTCCACCCCACAGGCCGGGAGGGTGACTTCATCCAAAGAAATCAACTCAGCAGCCATGTACCTAACCCATCTAGATCCACCAGTCAACACCACCAGGTCTCCCAGTGACATGCCCAGCTTGGGGACACAGCACCCTAGGCGGGGACAGTGCCTTCATTAGGTCCCAGTGCACAAGGCTTTTGCTGCAGCATTGTTTTAGCAGCAAAAGATGAAATCACCCACACACCTCTCGGGGATGCCAGAATGACTCGGGGACATGTGTCCTAGAGGAGGCCCCCCAGATACAAAGGATATGAGACGGGGGCGTGTGCCTCTGGTGTAATGTCTGAATTACACCGTGATGGCGGAAAAAATACAAGAAGCAGTGATGTCACAGCATGTGATGTTGAAATGCGAATTTTTTTTTATATCATCTACATAATATTTTACAATGAGAACAACAGCAATATGAGGCAGCATTTCACGGAGTCCTGCGCCCACTGGGCGCTCTCCAGATGGTAGCTCTCCATCCATGAGGTAGGCGCTGTGGGCATCCCGTGTCACAAATGAGCACAAATGAGCAACTGGAGGTGACATCACCTGCCCAAAGTCCCCCAGCTTGGGAGTGACAGTCTGTGATTCTCACCACCTCAACACACTAGGTACCATTTGTGTAGAATGGGAAATAAGACACGCGTGTGCACGTTGCTGGCGCAGCCCGGGAGGAAACCTGCGGACCCCCGAGCCGAGTGCAGGAGGAAGGCTTCTCCTTCGAAGACTCTCCGTGGTACAGCTGGCATTTCTCTTTTCCTTTTCCTCTCCTCCCTCTCCTCTATTTTCTCTCTCTCTCTGTACCAGGGATTGAACCCAGAGGCGCTTACCCGCTCAGCCCCAGCCCTTTCTATATTTCATTTAGAGACAGGGTCTTGCTGAGTTGCAGAGGCTGGCTTTGAACCCACGACTCTCCTGCCTCAGCCTCTTGAGCTTATTCCTTATTCCTTATTCCTCTTTATCCTGTGCTCTTTTTCTTTCTCCTTTGTAAGCACTTTTCTTTGGTATCACAACATTCATTGAAGGGTCATTGCTCACTAGAGAAGATCATGTCCAATTGTGATGCCTAGACCTCTGGCAGCCACTTTGGGACCATGAGGGGAGAACACATGTGAGGCAAGCCTTCAGCTGAGGGTGGCAGAGCAGAGACACAGGGACCCTGGGATCACTAGGCTCTCGCATAGCTGTGGAGAGTATTTCCAGAGGTCTCCCTGACTCTGATGAGGAGCAATCTAACATTTGCCTTATTAGAACCCCAGAAAAGCCAAAATCTTTCCTAACTGATATCAATATGTAAACAGCCTGAGGCCACTTACTTCTCTCTTCATCTCCTCCCACGGCCTTAATTCCTTTATCTCTGTCTCCAACTTTGACTACCCCACTGAGCCCCAGCCCCAGGGCCCTGTGACACCTGCTGGATGTCCCTGTAGCCCCTCAGACTCACCATATGTTAAAATAGCCCCCAACCCCCCTCAGAGCTGTGCTGCCTCCCAGGTCCCCGGGCACAACTGACCACGGGCCTGGTCCTTCCCAGTCTGCAAAGCCCATCCGCCAGCTTGGGGCCTCCCCGATCCCATGGCCCTGCCCAGCCCATTCTCGCCCTCTGTTCTCCCCCAGCCTCCCCCAGCAGCCTGCCTCAGTTTCCCCAACTTATCTCCCTGCACACGCAGCTGGGGGCCTTCCTAAAGTCCCAAACTGACCACGACTCCCCTTCCCCAAACCTCTCCATACCTCTCCAGTGCCCTCGGGATGAGGCCACCCCCGGAGTCACTGCAGGACTCAGACCAGCTCCTCCCCCTTCCCTGCCTTATTCCAGGCACAAGAGCCAGAAGCTGCTGTCCCCATGCCCCAGCGCCAGGCCTGGGCAGGCTCTTGCTTCTGCCTGTCCTGCCCTGCCTGGCTCCAGTGCCCCGTGGTCCCTTCTGTGACTGAGGCACAGGGCGTGGTAGAGCTAGGAGCTCAGTCCAGGGCCCTTGGCAGGAGGCTCTGCGACAGCCCATCTCAGGAGCAGCAGATCCCAGGGGCTTAAACCTACAACCACTTCCTCGCCCGTGGCTGGGTCAAGGGACCGCCTTCCCTTGCCTCAGTTTCCTCATTTGTGGAAAGGAGATCACCCACATTATCTCCCTTCCTGTAAAGTATCCAGAAGAGAGCCCGCCAGAGAGTGTCACAGAGTAACAGGGCAGCCCCGGCCACATCACCACTGCAAGTGGCGCTGTCCTGGTTGCCATTTTATAGGAACAGTCTGAGAGGTAGAGAAACTGCCCAAGGACCCAGGCAGGACACGGCGGGGCTAGAGGGAGCCCACAAGCTCAGTGAAGGGCGACCTGGACTGAGATGCTGAGGGAGGTCCTGCCACCCGGCCTGCCGCAGGATGGCCACGCGGGCCCTGGTCCCTGGAGGTACCTGGGAACACGAATCAAGGACACCTTCTTCCTCTGACCATTCCTCACGTGTCCGTTCTCAGTTCTGTCACTTCCTCTCCTGACCTTCCAGCTGCAGCTGGGCTGGTGGCCTGACCACTCACTCTGCCTGTGCCATCTGGGACTTCCACCAGGTGGGGACACATCTCTTATAAAGGCAGAGACCAGGGCCACCTCCACTACTCCTGTGTCCCCAGAACTGTGTAGCCCTGGGCCAGCACAGAGGCCGGGTCTGAGGGTGAACGGACCGCCCTCTGACAGCCGAGGACGAGGAAACCGAGGCTCAGAGAGGGCTGCCACTGAGCACCTGGCCTGCTCTAGACAGGTCTGGACAGGGTGTGGGACAGCCTAGCTGGACGAGCCGGTGGGTGAGCGGCTGACGGAACTTGGAGACTGAGGCAGGAAGGGACATCAGGAGGGGAGGACGGTAGTCAGGAAACCAGAAAGGGGGGGCAAGGGGGAGAGGGGACAATAGGTGGGGAGAGGGGGGGGGCGCTGGAGCCCCAGGGCCCAAGGGCAGAGCAGCCCCTGCCTCGCTCCACCTGCGTGGACGTCGGGTCCTGCCCGCTACCTGGGGATGGAGGCGTAGTCGGCGCGGGCGCCAGCGGAGAGGTGCTGGTGCAGCTCGGGCGCGGCGCCCAGGATGTCCACCCGATCGTCCCTGTCGTCGCCGAGGCTGGCGGGGCACGGGCTGGGCAGCAGGACGAGCTCCGTGAGGCCGTGGAGGTCGGACACGTGGCGGAAGGTCTGCAGCACCAGCACCATGGCCACCAGGCCCAGGAAGAGGTAGGCTGCGGACACGGGGAGGGTCGGCCTGGCGCGGCGCGCGGCTGTCCCCCGCAGCCCTCCCGCCACCCCGCCCGCCCTCGGCGCCAGCCAGGCCCAGCTCACCTGTGACCAGCACCTTGTAGAGGGCCCGGTGGGGCTGGCCGGGGGCCTCGCCGGGGACATAGTCTCCCAGGCCGATGGTGGACAGAGAGATGAAGCAGAAGTAGAAGGCGTCCAGGAAGCTCCAGGCCTCCTCCAGGTGGGCGAAGACCGCGGCCGGCACCAGAAAGCAGACGGTCACGATGACGCCCAGCAGGGCCACCAGGTGCCAGCGCGCGGCCCGTCGCGGGTCCCAGCCCCAGCGCCAGCTCAGCCAGGACAGGGGCGCGTGGGTCAGCAGCAGCGACAGGCGCTGGGCCGAGGCGGTGAGCAGCAGCATGGTGGTCGGCACGCCCAGGAGCGCGAAGGCGATGGAGAAGGCCTTGCCCGCGTCCGTCAGCGGCGTCGTGTAGCCGTAGCCTGCGGGGAGGGGGCTGCTGTCCACCCAGCGCTCCACGGAGCTGGCCCAGGTGGCGGGGGACACCCGAACCAGAGCTGACTGCAGCCCAACCCACCCCCCTGCAGGGCCTCCTGTCCCCAGAGTGGCCGCCACCCCCCACTCAAGCCTAGAGCCAGGGTTGCTTGCAAACTCAGGAAAGCCTCCCTGACTCGCCACATTTGCTTTCAGTTACTTGCTTTTAAGGATAAAGATCGCTGATTTGAGCTGGGTACGTGGCACACACCTGAATTCCCACGACTGGGGAGGCTGAGGCAGGAGAACCTCAAGTTCAAAGCCAGCCTCAGCAACTCAGTGAGGCCCTAAGCAACTTAGCCACCACCCCCTCAAAATAAAAAATAAAAAGGTCCGGGGTGTGGCTCAGCAGATACCAAAATAAATTAAAAAAATACAAAGGGCTGGGACATAGCTCAGTGGTACCCTGGATTCAGTCTCCAGGACCTCCCCACCACTGACTTGGGGACTGGGAGTCCCTGCTGGTATGGGCAAGGCCCCAAGTTCCATCACCAGCACTGAAGAGTCTATACATATCACTAATTTTAGAGGTCACACAGCTAAGTGACACATTATTAGTCTCCCGCTGCTCTGCTGAGAGGACACCTCTGAGTGTGGGTCTTGATGCTCACGGTGGCCCAGGTAACTTCTRTGGGACTTGGAGGCCGCTTTGGCTAAAACCCTGACTCTTGCCTTGGGCCCATGCAGGYGACCTCTTTGATATCAAGGGGCAAACTTCCCCTTCAGGTCATGCTAATGCTTCCATTTTCCGAACATATGTCCCATAAAGAGCCAGGAAGACTGATGAGTCCACGCAGACCACTAATGGCTTCACCTCCAGTCACCTTTTTCCACACCTCATGTCAMCCTGCTTCCTTCTCCCATGAATGTCCCCGACCCTCTCCTCTGGGAAGCATTAACATTAAAGTTGAGACACTTTCCACACCAGTCCCYGTGAGTAACTCTCTTGCAAAACCCATTTCAGTGACAAGCCAGCTGCACTTTCACCCAGGACTTCAGGAATCTCACATTCCATGTGTCAGCGTGGCCTGTCATCTCAGCCTTCAGACAGACCCACAGCCAMCCACTTCTCCCCCTAACGTAGCCTCATGGCCCTGCCCTTGTCCCACCGACCACAGCAGCCTCCCCCAGACCTCCCTTTTCTTCTAACCAGACCCCACAGTCTGTCCAGCTCACTCAGACTGAAGGACAAAGGCTTCACCCAACCCAAAGGGGCAGTATGCTCCTACCTCAGGGCCTTTGCTCAGGGCCAAAGCTCTTTCCATACATCCCCGGATTCCCCTCTCCAGTCCTTCAGACCTTTATCCAATGTCACCCTCTCAGTGATGCCTCCTCTGACCACTCTATTCTAGGTTGCAACACCCCCTTCCTCCTGCCTTCCCACACCCCAGTTTCCTTATTTGGTTACTGCCTCCCGAGGGCATCGGTTCCAGGAGGGCAGCGGATTCTGTTCTGTCCCTGCTGTGCGCATGATCCCGGGGGTACTTAATGAAGGACGCAGGCTTCTGCCTGGCCTCAGTTTCCCCTACTCTTAAAAGGGTGTGACAAGCCCCAGTGGACTCCTGGAGGGCTATGGGAACCCAGCAAGGCCCTCGGGGACATGAGTTCTGCAAGCAGAAATATGTCAAAGAGGACCTCAGGTGTGGGGGCACTGACTAGGAGTGACAAAGAGCAATTTTAAATCTCTTTATATTTCCCTAATAAACAAACCAAAGCGTCAGATCTATGACTCGGTGACGAGGACCCAGTTATGCCACAGTTAAAAGGCTGCAGACCCAGCACTGCGATGCATAATGCAGGGTGGACACCTGCACCAGCCGGTGTTCACTGAGCCTGCTTCCCAAACAAAGGGATCCCAGGTGTTTTCTTTTTCCTTTGTATTTTTTTGTTTGCTTAGTTGGTTGATTCTTTGCAGCGCTGGGGATGGAACCCAGGCCTCAGGGCTGCTAGGCAAGTGCTGTGAGCTACACCCAGCGCTGATCCCATTTATATATATATACTTCAAAGAACCAAAAGCAAGCTCTAGAAGACAGAACTGCTCACAATAGTTAGAATGAGGAAGTAACTCAAGTTCCCATCCACAGATTAATGGACCAGCACAATGCAGCACACGCTGATATTCGGCCTTGAAAAGAAGAAATTCTGATACGTGCTGTAACGTGGATTATCTCTGAGAACTGCTGAGTGACCAGTCACTAGAAGATAAGTTCTGGTTGATTCCCCTCAGTAAGGCAGGTAGGCGGTCAGATTCAGAGAAAGTAGAAYGGTGACTGCCAGGGCTCAGAGGGAGAGGCCATCAGGGAATTATTGTTCCAGGAAGGCAGAGTGTCTGGGTTTGGTTTTGTTTTTTTACTCCTTTGGCACTGAGAATTGAACCCAGGGGCACTTTACCACAGAGCCATATCCCCAGCCCTTTTTTACTTTGAGACAGGGTGACATTAAATTGCTGAGGCTGGCCTCCAACTTGTAACCTTCCTGCCTCAGCCTCCCKAGCCACTGGGATTATAGGCATCAGAGTTTCCCTTTTGCAAGATGAAAACAGTCCTGGAAGTAGATGATGGGGAGGGGTACACAACAGTGAATGTGATCAGCGACATTGAACTACATACTTCAAAATGGTGAAGATGAGCCTGGGGCTGGGGCTCAATGGCAGAGCGCTGGCCTAGCATGTGCGAGGCACTGGTTCGATCCTCGGTACCACATAAAAAATAAATTAATCAACAGAGAGATTGTGTGTCCCTCTACAACTAAAAAATATTTCTAAAAATGGTGAAGATAGGGCTGGGGATGTGGCTCAAGCAGTAGCGCACTCGCTTGGCATGCGTGCGGCCCGGGTTTGATCCTCAGCACCACATACCAACAAAGATGTTGTGTCTGCCRAGAACTAAAAAATAAATATTAAAAAATTCTCTCTCTTTAAAAAAAATGGTGAAGATAGTACATTTTATGTTATGTCTATTTTATCACTAAAATTGAGAAAAGGAAAAAGGATGTCAGGTGTGGCGGTGCGCACCTGTAACCCCAGCTACTCAGGAGGCMGAGGCAGGAGGATCCCAAGCTCAAGGTCAGCTGCTGGGATTACAGGCAGGGCCACCGAGTCTGGCAGATGCCCTCAGCCACCTAGAATAAGGACATCCCTCCTCCCTTGCAGCCAGATGTGACTCTGTGGCTAATTTCTGGACAATGAATTATCATGAAAGAATCCAGGTCCTTCTCTCTGAGAGGATCCACTCTCTCCCTTGAGAGTGTTCCGTTTTCCCCTTTTCTGTCTCCTCTAATAACCTCATGCTGTTACTCAAGAAAGAAAGAAAGAATGAATGAATGAATTCAGGGACTTCCAGGAAGGGTCATGAAGGAGAGGGGTAATCCCCATATCGTCCCTTTTCTTTCCTGTTCTGTTGACTGGAACACAGACATGAAGGCTGGAGTGCAGCAGTCGTTTTGGACTGTAAAGAGACCTGGGAAACAGAAACTGTCCAGAGCAGATACAGGGGAGCAGGGTTTTGCTGAGGAGTATGGGTCTCTGACCCCCAGCACCTCTCTGGTCTTGGACTGACCACCTCAAATGTGAGCAAGGAGTCCACATCCATCTTATTTAAGCAACTGTGATTGGGAGCTTCTCCTTCATGACTCTAACCTCAGGAACACAGGTTCTAGCTGGGTGTGGTGGTGCAACCCGCAGTCCCAGTCCSTCGAGGCTGAGGCAGGAGGACCCTGAGCCCAGCAGTTCGCACAGCCTGGGTAACAGAGCAAGATCAATCAATAAAAAATAAAACAAGGCTTTGTGTTCTGTGTGTTCCTGGGGATTGAAACCAGGGTGCTCCACCACTGAGCCACACCCCAACCCTTTTTATTTTTTGGACAAGTTTTCCTTCAATGGCCCAGGCTGGCCTTGAACTTGGAATCACCCTGCCGCAGCCCCCCAAGTAGCCGGGATTACAGGCCTGCGCCACCACACCCAGCAAAATGAGGGTTTGGTGGAGAACCTCCCCTGACCCAGCTGACACAACCGGTTTGCAAGCCACAGGACATCCTCATAAACAAGAAAACCAGAGCTGGGATCGGATGGGGCTGGCGGGCCTCCACTTACTACTTCAAAGAGCTGAGTCCCAAATAAGTGTTTTCCATTTTTTTCCTGCATGACCTTGGCTAGGTGACGCCTCCTTTCTGAGCCTCTGTTTTCTAACCAGCAAAAAAAAAGAAAAGAAAAAGGGCTCAATAAATAATCCCCCTCCTCAAACGTGGTAGTGATCCTACAGCAGGGGGGCGCTTAGCACCCAGCGCAAGTGTGGAGAGGGTCGTGGCGATGTGGTACTACAATCCGTGTGTGTGTGAGTGTGTGTGTGTGCATGGGTGGGTGCGTGTGTGTTCGGGGGTGGATCAGGGCCCCATGCACACGAGGCAGCCAGCTACGGTGACCACAAGCCTGACTTCCTTCTCCCTGGTCCCAGTTCCCTATCCCCGCTGCCCACACCTGGCCTCAACTTCTCACTAGGTCTTAGGATTTGGGCCTGTGACAAAATGAGGGACACTGAGAAACAGGTCTCTTGGAAGGACATCCAGTCTGTATTCCAAGGCTCCAGGTACATTCGGGGTTCCCGGCCCCACCCAGAACCATCCAGGTGCCTGAGGCTCTGTCAACATGAGCTGTACCAGCTCACCCTGGCAAGGACGCCTCCTTGACCAAACTCCAGCCAGCTTTCTCTGAGCGATGTTTATCTTCAAGACTCCTAAGAATCCCCACCCTGGATATTGCATCAAATTCCTCATCTCCCCCCACTTTTTTTTTTTTTGTACTGGGAATGGAACCCAGAAGAAGTGCTTTGCCACTAAGCTACACCCCTAATGTTTAAAATTTTTTTGAGAGAGAGAATTTTAATATTTATTTATTTTTTAGTTTTCGGCGGACACAACACTTTTGTATGTGGTGTGAGGATCGAACCCGGGCCGCACGCATGCCAGGCGAGTGCGCTATCACTTGAGCCACATCCCCAGCCCCCTAATGTTTAAATTTTTTAAAAATTTGCAACAGGGTCTCACTAAGTTACTTAGGGCCTCACTGAATTGCTGAGGCTGGCCTTCAGCTTTCGATCCTCCTTCCTCAGCCTCCTGAGTAGCCAGGATTATAGGTGTCACCGCACCCAGCCTCATCTCCCCCTCCCTCCTTTTTCACCCCCTCCCACTCTTTTGAAACAGGTCTCGCCATGTTGCCCCAACTGGCCTGGAACTCATGATCCTTCTGCCTGAGGTGCCTGGGGAGTTGGGACCACAGGTGTGAGCACCACGTGTGGCTGACTGGCCTGGGTTTGGGAGGTAGAGTGCTGTCGGGTATGTGCAAGGCCCTGGGCTCCATCCCCAAYGCCAGAGAAAAGAAACTGTCCAGCCCAGTGGAGGAAGCCTCCTGCCCTGTCCCTCCCACCCTGACCCCTCGATCCACTGCCTTCACGGCTGAGTTCCTCTAGGAAACGCACACTGGCCCTCTTCAAGCCACGCAGTGTTGAAACAGAGCCATCGAATGGCGACTTCCCTGTTCCTAAAGGCACGTCAGGCTGTTTTTCAGAACTGGCACGGGACCCTGGGATCTGACCTAAGATGGCCTCAGCAGCCTGGAGGAACCCAGGCTCTGAGGAGCAGAACCAGAGAACAGGCCCCCAGCCCTGGACTAGACCAGCGAGGGCCACTGTCAACAGAGGCAGAATAGACCAGAATCATCCCCAAGTTCCCCTGGACCAGCCGACTGTCAAACCCCGTCCCCAGCCACTCCGGCTCCTCCCCTACTGGCCAGTCCAGTCTGGGAAATGGACTTGAATGTGCCTCCCGCCTCCTTGCCCTTGGCCTTCAATAAAGCTCTTTCTTTTTGTAAAAACCCTGGCTTCTATGTGCGTCGGGCAGCAAGACCTTGCTCAGTGGCAGAGTGGTATGTTGGGTAAGAGCACTGGATTCTGGAGATTTGGTTCAAATCTCTACACCTTTCCAGCTGTGTGACCTTGGGCTAATGGACACACACTCTCTCTCATATTTTCTCTCTCTCCAGGCATTACTATCTTTTTTTTCACTAATGGGGACTGAATTCAGGGGTGCTCTACGACTGAGCCACATGCCCAGCTTTTGTTTTAAATTGCTGAGGCTGACCTCGAACTTGGGATCCTTCTGCCTCAGCCTCCTGAGTCACTGCGATCACAGGTGTGGGCCACCACACCCAGCTTTATTAGCCCATTTTACAGATGAGGGAGGACACGGAGCAGCAGCGGAGCCGGGATGCCAAGCCAGGCCGCATCTGCCTGGTGTCTGGCCTCCCTCACCTGCTCCTCCTCCAGGGAGGATGATGCAGAAACCAGGATCTACGAGGAGACAGCAAGGCGCTGACCCAGGGAAGGTCAGAGGCTGGTCGGGCCTGCCCTGGCAGGCCCCGCAGTGTGGGGGAGAGCACGCCCCAGGCAAGGCGGCTAAGTCTAGTCTGGGAGAAAATCACCCCGCTTTGCCGCCAGTGGCCTCTGTTGGCCGATCCATAGGATGGGGCACCAAGGGGGACAGATGCCACCCCTTACTGCTGCACTACCAGCTGGAGGCCGTCAGGATTCTGGACCACCCTCCTCCACGTTCCCAAAGGGGCAGCTGGTGGCTAGGGAGGGGCTGGGGAGCAGCAGAGCGTGATGGCAGAGGGACTTCCCAGGTCTGTGAGGGGACAAGGGACTTCCCCGGGCCAGGGTTCTCAAGGGTTGGGGGTGGGGTAGATCCCAGGGTCCCACTTGAATGAGGGCTCAGAGCAGGGAGTCTAGGGGTCAGTCTTAAATCAAGGGCCAGTGTCCTTGTTTGAAATGAATCCTGGGGTCCTGGGTCAAAGGGCCAGCAGCCGCTGGTGACGTCTGGCAGAGAAGTCCTCAGGCAGAGAGGGCTGTGAAGCCCAGGGTACCCGAGGGCAGGTGGTAAGGGAGATGCTGCTAAGGGATAGGGCAGTGTCCCAGGCCCTTGCTGACCGTCCAGGGTAGACGTGGTGCTGGGGAAGGTCCTGTGCAGAGCCTGGCGCAGCCTTCGTGGAGAGAATTTCAGAGACAACACAGGCTGGGGCAGTTGGGTGGAGAGGGACGTCCCAGCTGTGAGTCTGGAAAAGGTCAGAGGGCTCCCAAGTCCCCAGGAGATCCCCTTGTTTGGGAAATCCACAGAGGGCAGGGGACGTGGGAGAGGCCATCTGGGCTGGCATCTTGTGGGGCCGGGAGGCAGATTCTGCTGTCCACAACAGTGTGAGGGGCGCTAGCATCCCCACAGGAGGTCCTGGTGGTTCTGGGGCTCTCACTGAGGGGTTTCAGGGTGGGGGGGTGGGAGTCTCAGTTCATGGTTTAAAGAGGACTTCATGGAGAGTCCTGGGGTTTCAAAGGGCTAGAAGTCTGCTGGAGGTGGTTAGGGGACAGAGCGGTGGGAGTCTGGGAGTGGTCTTCTGGTTGGACAGTCTGTGGGCCTCCTAGAGGGTGCTCGGCCTCCCTCCATGGGGGGTCCCTTTCACACACCCTCAGTTGTTGGGGCTACTAAATTGGGGTCACTGGTCCAGAAGGAACAGAGAGTGTCCCAGCTGAGGAAGAAACCCTGCAATGCTGGGGGCACTGTCAGGATGGCTGTGGGAGGTCCTGACCTGGAGCGGGGGAGTATGAGGCCACAGGCATGGCGCCTGTCCTATCTGGGACCCATGCAGAGAGTGATGGAGGGCCAGAGGGTTGGGAGTCCCAGAGCAGCCACAGGTTCCTGCCAAGTGTCCCCCTGGAAGGTAGGCCTTTGGTGATGGTGTGGGGCGGCAGGGTCCTGGCTGGGGTCAGGAGGAAGTGGGTGTAGGGACAGTCAGTGGGTGTAGGGACAGTCGGGAGACAAGGTTGGAAGCAATGGCTGTAGCAGCCCAGAGATAGGTTCTAGCCTGCAGGAGGCTCCCAGCCAGAGGGGACAGGATGTCAGGTGGAGGCTTCCAGGTCCTCCTTGGTCTCTGGAGAGACCCAAATCCTCACCAGGGTTAAGACGGGGCGGTGAGGTCTCCGGGCGGTGAGGTCCCGGACGCTTGCTTCCCGACAGAACTGGAGGGGTGTTTCCCGCTTAGGAGGAAAGGCCTGGCTGAGGGACCCCAGGGGGTCACGCCTCCTGTGGCCCGGGGGCCTGGACGGGTGGGCGTGGGTTGAGGGGCTCCGAGGCCCGGGAGGGAGGGGCGTTTTGAAGGACCCGCGGGTCCGAAGGGCCAGGACCAGGTGGGGTCCGCGCGCTGGCTGGCCGGCGGGGCGCGCTCACGTACCCACGGTGGTGACCAGCGTGCTGGCGAAGAAGAGCGCCGAGGCGAAGTCCCAGGCGGGGTCCGAGGCGTTGGCGGGCCCCGACGCGTTGGCCAGCGCGGCGCGCCCCAGCCGTCCGGCTGCCAGCACTCGCTCCACGAAGGCGTCCAGGGCCGGGGCCGCCACGCACGGGCTGCGCCGCAGCAGCTGCTCCCGCAGTGTCCCCAACTCGGCTCGGAGCCGGGCTTCGTGCGGCGCCTCCAGCCGCGCCACCAGCAGCGCGCCCAGCACCAAGTACACGGCGTACGCGGCCAGGGCGCCCGCCAGGAGCGCGCCCCGCTGCATGGCGCCCGCCGCCCGCACAGCCCCGGGCCGCCCGCTGACGTGGCCCCCGCCGCCGCCGCCGCCCGCCGCCTGGGTTCAGTTCCGGGAGTCCGACGCTGGGCCACTGATGCCCCAAGAGGAAGAGGAAAAAGGGGAGGAGCGGGGCTGGAGGAACGCCCAGCCTCCGGGAAACTGAGGCACGCCCAACTCCAGGTGTTCTGCAGGGCACCGAGGGCGGAGCCCAGCGCTCCTGGCCAGGAGCCCGACAGGACCAGAGGGTGGGGAGATCGCGGTTCCCCAAACTGGAGAGAGTCAAACTCTCCTGGTGGATGGAACAGCCGCTCCCCAACTCCTCTCKGCGCCGCTGCGCGAGTCTGCTCAGGTTGTGCACTGCATCAAAGAGCGTGGCTAGGCTCAGGGGCAGACTGAAATCCATTTCTCACCCTACTCGCCAAGTCTTGCGCCCTAGATGGGATGGCCACCACCCTGTAGGAACGTCTACACAAAGGCAGACATGATAGGGTCAGGTGTCCCCTGTGTCCTCCTGGACAGAGCGAGGATCCTAACCCATTCACCACATCTTTGYTCAGATCGCACTTTGTTCTGGGTAGTACTGAGAACAAAGCAGTCTTGGACCCTGCCCYTATTGGGTTCTCAGTATATGGGGAAACTGACAGATCAGTAGAGTGACAGCCCAGGGTGACAGGTCCCGCAGCCCATAGAGTATCAGGGGTAGGATGGAGGAAGCCAGAGGAAGCCATAACCCAGYTTAGGGAGGTCAAGAGAGTGACCTGAAGAAGGGGATCATCCTAGCTGAGACACGAAGAGTGACTAGGAGTGAGACAGGGTCTTTGTGAGCCAGACTCAAAAATATTGCATGAAGCCCTGAGTTCAATCCCAGAACTGAAGAAAAAAAAAAAGAGGCAGGTAGGGTTGTGGCTCAGTGGTAGAGCGCTGGCCTAGCTGTTCGAGGCCCTGGGTTCCATCCTCAGCACCACATAAAAATAAATAAATAAAATAAAAGTATTGTGTCCAGCTATAATATATATATATATATATATATATATATATATATATATATATATATATTATTTTTTTTTAAAGAAAGGAAGCAAAGAAAAGGAAAAACAGCCAGGTGACTGCAAAGGCTGAGGCAGGAGAATTCCAAGTTCAAGGCCAGTCTTTGCAATTTAACAAGACCCTCATCAAGTTAGGGAGACCCTGTCTCTAAATAAAAAGAGCTGGGGATGTGGCTCAGTGGTAAAGTGCCCCTGGGTTCAATCCCCAGTGCCCCACCACAAAAAGATAGACAGGGATCATAAATATATACCTGGGAGGGAGGGCTGGGTGGAGCTCAGTGGTACAGCACATCCTAGCGTGAGCAAGGCCCTGGGTTCGATCCCTGTAACAACAACAACATCATCAAAACATTCCTTCAGTGTCCTTCCTGAGGGTCTCCCTACATCCCTTTGCAGCCAGAAATGAGTACCTCCTGGCAGCCTTCTGGGAGGCAGCCCAGAATCCCAACCCCATCTTACCACAGAGGAGTAGGGCTCCCGGCCAGACCAGACCCAGCCAGCTGGTTCTATTTATAAAAACCATGGCAATTCTTGGGACGGAGGCCAATTTTGGGTTGACAGTCYACAGGAAGAGATACCTGTTAATCAAGATAGCAATGAACTGGGTCAGGCACTGTGGAGCATGCTTGTAATCTCATGAGTTAGGATGCTGAGGCAGGAGGATCACAAGTTCAAGGCCAGCCCCTGCAACTTAGCAAGACCCTGTCTCAAAAAAGGATGTATGTGTGATGATGTAGTTCAGTGGTAAAGCAACCTGGAGTCCATCCCCAGTAACCCCCCAAAAATAATGATCTGGGTGTGCCACCCAGAGACTCAATACCCAGTATCCCTCCCACACCAAAAAAAAAAAAAAAAAAAAAAAAAACTCCAAGAAGTAATATAGAGTGATTTAAGGGGCTGGGTGTAGTGCAATGATGGAGTGCTTGCCACTTTCTAGCATGTATGACACCCTGAGTTTGATCTTTGGCACTACATATTAATAATAATAATGATAATAACTATTATTATTATTATTTAGAGTATACAGGAGGTGTCTCAGGAGGATGAGGAAGGAGGATTGCAAGCTCAAGGCTGGCCTGGGTAGTGAGACCCTGTCTCAAAAATAAAAATTAAAAAGGGCTGTGTGGCTCAGTGGTAGAGCATCCTGGATTCAATCCCCAACACAACACAAAAGAATAGAAACAAAGTATACAGGACTATGTGTACACAAAAACTACCCCCCCCCCCCACAGATTGAACCCAGGAGCGCTTAACCTCTGAGGGACATCCCCAGAGCTTTTTTATATTTTATTTAGAGACAGGGTTTTGCTGAGTTGCTTAGGGCCTCACTAAATTGCTGTGGCTGGCTTTGAACTCTCAATCCTCCTGCCTCAGCCTCCGAGCGCTGGGATTACAGACGTGCACCACCGCGCCTGATTTACCTTGTTTTACATAAAGGGCTGGAGTGTTTGAGGATTCTGGAAGCTACAGGGTCCGGAAACCAATCCTCCACAGATACCGAAGGATGACTATAGTCACAAGAGGCCAACAGGAAGCCAAAATACTTTATTTTTTTTTTAAATCAAATTTTTTTTTAATTTTTAATATTTATTTAATTTTTTTTTTTTTTAGTTCTCGGCAGACACAACATCTTTGTTGGTATGTGGTGCTGAGGATCGAACCCTGGCCGCACGCATGCCAGGCGAGCGCGCTACCGCTTGAGCCACATCCCCAGCCCCAAAATACTTTATTAATAATAATTTTAAAATAGTCRAGAAGAGATCAGTCTTGCCGGGTGAGTGGTGCCCGCCTGTAATCCCAGTGGCTCGGGAGGCTGAGGCAGGAGGATCGCGAGTTCAAAGCCAGCCGCAGCCCTTGAGTGAGGCCTTAAGTAACTTGGCGAGTCCCTGTTTCTAAATAAAATCCAAAAAAAAAAAAAAAAAAAAAAAAGAGAGAGAGATGGGCGTGTGGCTCAGTGGTTTAGGTGCCCCTGGGCTCAATCCTCGTGCTCCCCCCACCCCCCAAAAAAGAGATGGATCTCGACGCAACAGGAAGGGTTGAGGCTGAGAAGAAAACGGCGGTGAAGCCGAAGGGGCACATTCTAAACCCGAGGTGAGAAGAGAAATGGGACATCTCATACACAAGGACCTCAGTGCAGCCTGGACTCGTTATTGAGAAGCCAGGGGCAGCCTTTCAAGGTCCCCAGAAAAAACCCACATCTCCGAGGAGGAAGGGGAAGCCACAATGATAGGGTCCCCAGCCGACATCCTTCCGGAGCGCTATCACTGCCAGATGTCACCCCCACCGTTGTCTTTGCCGGAGATAAGTGGAAGTTAGAGAGCCTCTTTGGTTTTAGAGAAAACCCAGTTGAGAGACCATTTTAATAAATTTCTGGGAAACTGCCTAAAGCTGTCTTCCAAGAAAGACACCGGTTCTTCTCACCTAACCTGTTGGGTGTCTTCTTCCTACTCTAWATATTCACTTTAATACTTAAAGAGTGCCCAAAGCGTCAGAGCTCGCACAACTCCGATCAGCCCCTCGGAAACACAAGTGCACCTCTTCTCCCCTTCTTCACACCCTTCGCTGGCTCCCCGGTGCTCTCGGCCACCCCAAAGAGTCCCAAGCGGCAGAGAACTCCATTTCCCATCGCCCTCTTCGCTCAACACGTGACACCTACATTTCCCGTCATGCCCAACAACGCCTACTCCTAGGATTGTTCCCGGCCCCGCCTCCCTAACGCTCAGGTCCCGCCCCTCTCCTTACGCCTGAGAGCCCCAGTTCCCGYCTCTTACGTAAACCCCACCTCACTCGTCCACGCCTCCGTGAGAGAGAGGGGGCGCGGCCATCTGAGCAATCTTGAAGCCCATTGGCTGTCGTGTCACCGCTGGGGCGTGGCTACGGGAGCCGGGCGGCCACGTTACGAACTGCGGCTGAGGTGGCGGCGGCAAAGGATGAACCCGGCAGGTTTGGCGGCTGCGGCGGGGACGCCCCGGCTGCGTAAGTGGCGTACGTGGCTGATCGAGGAGTTCGGGCGGGCGGGGGYGTGGCGGGGCCGCGGCGGCGGTTGGAGAGGTCACTGCAGGTCGGAGGTCACGAGATTGAAGATCTGGAATTTGGAGGTGTGCACAGCGCAGGGATGCCAGGTCCGGGTAGGGGGCGCATTGTGGGTAGATTCTTTAGGAAACTGCTGTGGACGAAAACGACTTGGAGTAGGATATTGTGTGATGTGCGGAGAAACGCGACTTTCATTCATTTGGAGTTAGCGGTCTGCCTTCCCCTGCTCCCCACCCTTCCGTGGCTCCCCAGTGCCCACGAGCTGTCGCCCGTGCTTCTTACTACGGCCTTCAGGGCCCTCGGTGAGAGGATCATGTTCACGCTCATTTAAAATTGAACTTGTACTGATTGTACTGTTAATCTCCTTTTTTCCCACCTTTGAATTTGTGTCTCTCAATTCCTCTTCATCTCCATATGAGCGCAGTGCGTTTCATTTCTTCATTCATCATACCTTGCCTAAGCTCCCCCCGTGTCAGGCTCTATACTGGAATTTGGGTACTCAGAAGGAGGTCTGAGGACTCTGGTCCTTGCTGTCTTAACAGCTCAGAATTCAGTGGAAGGGCGGACACACTAAAAAGCAAACGAAGCAACAAGATAATTTGGGGAGTAAAAAGAGCTATAAAGAGAATAATCCTCGGGCTGGGGTTGTGGTGCGGTGGTACAGCCAGCGCTTGCCTCGAATGTGTGAGGCACTGGGTTCCATTCTCAGCACCACATATAAATAAAAAATAAAGGTCCATCAATAACTAAAATGAGGGCTGGGGATATAGCTCAGTTGGTAGAGTGCTTGCCTTGCATGCACAAGGCCCTGGGTTCAATCCCCAGCACCACACACACAATCACAAATATATCTAAAGTGAATAAAATAAATAAAATTGAAAAAAAAAAGAGTAATTTGCCCCAGGCACACCTTTAATCCCTGTACCTATAATCGTAATGAGGACAGAGTCAGGAAGATTGAAAAATGAAGGCCAACCCGGACACCTTAACAAGCCCTG